AGCCACCCTCCCTGCTCAAAGGGATAATATCCTCTGTCTTTCCTATTCTGGCCTCTCTGCTTGTCAAATTTCCTCTAGAACTGGAGTATCCAAGTCCACTGTGGCCAAGTTCATCAAAGAAAGTCACACAGACAAGGAAAACTTCTGTGAAGGGTGTCCATCCAAGCTCACCTCTACTGATAGGAGGGCTATTATTCAACATATCACTACAGGAAAGGCTGATAATGCTGTCCAGGTCACCTATTACATCAATTCCACCATCACATTCCCTGTCTCTTCACACACTGTGAGAAACATTCTCAAGACAGCTCATCTCAGGTCAGTAACAAGGAAGAAAAGGCTCTCCTCTCTATCACACATATGCAGAGAGGACTAGCACCCTTCTTTTTTCACATATATACCTTGCCATCTGACCCAATCCTATTTATTGTGGTCTTATATGATCATATAACATGCTTCCAGTCCATGTAATCCAATTCTGATGGGTTAAGGCAAAGGTTAGTCATCCACATCAAAGTCCTCATCCCTGATGATGCAGCCCTTCAAGCCCATCTCAGGAAGCTTAAAGTCAAGAGCTTTTTGCATCACCTTATCTTCATGATCCAATCCTTGCATTGTGGAAGGGTTGACACCTGGGATCTGGCCAAGCTGATGATAATTGTTGCTTAGTCTTATCATTAAATAAATTACCACAAACCTTAGCAGAATGATGTACATGTTGGTTCCATCTGGCTGCTATGACAGAGCAGTTGGGGGGTAGCACTTCCCCAACAGAACTAGTACCTTCTGTCTTGGACTTTGCCTTTATTAGTAGCTAGGCACTGGTGCAATTCCCACAGAGACTTACCATCATCTTGAAGATAGCTTGGAACTTTACACTGACAAGGCTGTTGACCTGGAAGAATAGGCATGCTGATGAGTATGTCTTTATCATGTTTTTATGAATCACATTTGCCCATCAATTACAATCATGATTTCAAAAACATGACTTGATGGGAATTGGGGGTATTTGGGGTCTTTTTGGAATGTGCTTGCACCAGTGCTGGGTACTGATGGTACTGATGCCCTCTTCAAACCCAGTGAAAATTGACAAGGAGGTAGAATATATGTAGACATGGAACAAAAATATAAGCCATATGACATTTATTGATGACTTTCGACATGTTTAGCCAGATGAGACTTTTCAAGATGGAAAAAGAAAGAGGTCAAGAGGAAATTTAGATTGTTTAGATGTCATTCTCACTGTGTTTAGACCTATCAATACACATTTACATATGAATCATCAATCTAAAAACACATCAATATACATCTAATGCAAACAAATGAGATTGTCTATAGGTATCACTATCATTTGGTGAGGGTGTAGGGTATCGCTGCTTGCTGTGCCTCACTGACATCCCGCCATGTGTCCTCTAGTCATTGTGGTCGTTGTCTTGACCTTGTACAAATCCAGCTATGGAACAAGTTGGTCAGTACATACAATAGGATGTAGTGGACAGTGCTCACCTCCATCATCACCCTCTCCTGCGATGCAGTCTTACATTGACAGCACAATCCACATGTCCAAGTCAACACACTCACTTTTGCAATGGTTGCAACAGGATTAAGTTCACGCAATGAGAACAGTGGTTAGATGAGATAAACTCTTTGGACAACTCAGTTATGATATAGAGTTGAAGGCAGCTGTGCTCAGGTGCAAGAATCCATTTGGTTTGGTTTGTACACCACTACGTCGCAAGCAATTGGAGAATGTTCACAGCCTATAAAGATGAATTGACTAATTTGTGGGTTCCTGATAGCTGAGATCATTGTCACTCACACAATCTTGGACCTCGATCTTGGTGCTTGATCCAGATTGTTCTATCTGTTCAATCATGACATTGATGACTCTCTTGAGGTCTTCGAGGAAGCTCTCCCATCCACTGCTTTGTCACTTCAGCAGCCCAGTATCTGAAGAGTTTCATAGCCAAGTGTATACATATGGTGGTTGTATTATGCCTCAGAGATGCAATCTCTGGCTGGAGCATGTAGGGAATAAGTTCATCCAGTGTAGAAAGTTTGCTATGTCATGATCATTCAGCATATTGGGAGGGAGTGAATTCATATGACACACCTGCAGTGCCCTTCATATATCCAAGTGGCTGCACATAGCACCTCAGAACAAATAACCTGCTCATATGCATGCAGCAAGAATGTATCATCTGACAATACCTTCACCATGTCAATGTTCAATACATATGTGAGGTCAATGAGGACTGAGAGGTACCATTTGAAATCAGTGATGTTGTCATATGTGCTTTGAGAACACATTGTCACTCCAGTCCCAGAAGTGCTGGAAGTGCACAAGATGGAAATTCTATCAATATTGGTGCGATTAAGAAAATAAGATAATGCCAAGTTACCTTGAGTTTCAGGCAAAGCACAACACTTGCTTGCTTGAGATGGTCGAGTGATATTGAGTCACAATAACCCAATCAAAATGTTGTCCTGGGACAACATCTTACAGAAATGCTGTACTTTTGTCTTGGAGATTGGAATCCTACCCTGTAGGAAATTGCTGTGCAGCACATGCACATGACTCTTCTGTGACAGTCATTAAATTGGCGATCTCAATCTTACATGATCATTCACTCAGAGTTATCCAGACTGACTTGACTGACTGTTAAGGTTGTACTCAAGGGTTAACAGATCCTAAGGGCTTCAGCCTCAGCTCATGCACTGTGCCCCTTACTCAAGTATTGCCTCTTATTTCAGGAAGGCAAGACTAACACATCTGGAGGGTCAGATGGGTAGCATAGTGGATCTGGATGACTTCCAGATGAGGGATAAGTATTGTAAGACTAATCCAGATGAGTCCAGACTAGAAACTAGCAGTAATAGCTGTCATAGACAGAGGCGGATGCAGATAGACTATAGGAATCAATCCTAAGTCTCAGAGGGTGACAAGAGTAGTGGTACTCAGGTCCAGAGGACAGGAATGAGCAGAACTAAGTTGATATTTGAACTGAGGTGCTACAGAGAGTTACAGGAGGTTATATACTATAGGTATCTAACAGAATGATCAATCAGCAGAGTCCAAGGCTATGTATGAAGCATATGGATAGTCTATTGGTAAGTAGAATTGGATCATAAATCATGAAACGGAAATGAAGCATAGGTAATGGATCAGGGAGCAGGATGGATATACAGATAGCTGAAATACCGGAGTTAGGGGATTACTGAAAGGAGACAAGTGCTGGTTGTGGATTTGGATGAATTGTGGACTGGACTGGACAAGTGGACAGATTGGATGATGAGATGTTGGAGGGAGATAAGATGTGGATAGGATCGGAGATAAGATGTGGATTGGATCTGAGATGAGATAAGGATTGGATCTGAGATCCAGATATGCAGATATGACACTGACCTTATTAAACATTTAGCAGTCAGTCTGGCCAGTCTAGTAGATTATTATGTAAGCTTGAGATCACCATACAATTGAAGTCAGTCTGGTCAGTCTCAACACTTAAATATGAAAATGGTTGATTTGCATTAGCAGCACCTGGTGCAAATTTATAGTGATACATGACTCTTGAGTGATGGTGCCACTCTTCTCTAGGTGAGGGACCCACTCCAGTGGAGAGTTGGCTGGGCTGCTCTGGAGCTTGTCCTTTGGTTACTGTAGGGGGGAAATCTCGGGAGTTAAGCTGGTGAAGCTCAACCCACTCTGTTCAAGGAAATGGCAAAGTATAAATCAGTGCAAGTAGGCTAGGGCCAAACCCAATCTCTGGTCAATAACAATTTCTCATCTGTCTGTTTATTGACAAGTCACATGCATCATGCAGGCAAGAACATTCAAAATTGATTAGCTTTTCATCCATACTAAGATAAGATTGAAACATGGATATACAGTGGCTCAAAAAAGTGTCTCAATTTTTGTGACTTTTTGTGTAATTGCTGTATTATGAGCCAGGGTGTGAGAATATGACTAAGCCATAGGGAGGTGTGGAAAAGCTCAGCTTCTAAGCTTTATGTTTAATCCCTATAGTGTGGAAAGATTATGTTATCAAGTGAAGATATGGTCAATTTGATTTGGTGACTCATTGAGACACTTTTTTGACTTTCAGTTTGACCAACACAATCTCTATAATTCTGGTACTTGGTGTTTCCTCCCATTGCTCTAATTACTTCTGCCATTCTTCTATGCATACTATCTATCAATTTGAGGCATTCCTCATCAACAATCTTGCACCACTCTGCTGCAACTCTCTCCCACAGCTGAAATAACCCCTATTGAGGATCTTGATAGACTGTAAGTAATATCTTGAGTAATTACCAGGGCTGTTTAATAGGGTTGAGGTCTGAGGACTGAACTTGCCATGATAGAACACTGATATCATAGTTTTTAAACCATTTATGGTCAACTTGAAGTATGCTTAGGGTCATTGTCTTGTTAGAAGATAATGTTTTCTTCATCAATTCTTAATTCTTGCATGCTTCTGAGCAGATACTTTTCCAAAATTGAAATGTGCTGCTTCACATTCAACCCCCCCCCCACCTTACAGAGAATTCCTACTCCATTCCACCCCATACAACACTATACCATCAAGTTTCATACTCCATATTTTAGTGTTTTCTTGACCTTTCTTTCTTCTAGTAGTTCTTCTGCATTTCATTACATATATTCCTAGCCATCTGACCCCATCCTATTGATTTTTGTCTCATGTGACCAGGTAGTCCTATTCCAGTCCTCAACAGTCCAATATTGAGGCTTTAAAGCAAAGGCTAATCTCCTTCCTATATAGGCTGAAGACAGGAAGGGCTTTTCTGCCTGTTTATAGCTTTAAGAATGGCTGCCTTAAGAGTACCCCTGACTATTTGAGTGGAGAGAGCAGTGTAGATGATGTAATTGATGAATTTGGTGGCTTGAGTAGCATTGGCAGCCTGCTTAGTTGGAATATTATGAACAAGAGATTTTTTGTTATATGATATAAGCTTGAAAGGACAATCTAGTTTGATATTTTTCTTATCTGGAATGACTTTTTATGATCCTAATGATAGCACCCAGCTCAGACCAGTTTTAGTAGCAATCTGCCTGGTATACAGATTAGAAGAGCTAATGATAATAACAGTAGGGGCTATTTCAGTTGTGGGAGAGAGTTGCAGCAGAGTGGTGTAAGATTGTTGATGAGGAATGCCTCAAATTGATAGATAGTATGCATAGAAGAGTGGCAGAAGTAATTAGAGCAATGGGAGGAAACACCAAGTACCAGAATTATAGAGATTGTGTTGGTCAAACTGAAAGTCAAAAAAGTGTCTCAATGAGTCACCAAATCAAATTGACCATATTCTCACTTGATGACATAATTGTCTCACACTAGAGGGAGCAAACATAAAGCTTAGAAGCCGAGCTTTCCCACACCTCCCTATGGCTTAGTCATATTCTCACACCCTAGCTCATAATACAGAAATTACACAAAAAGTCACAAACATTGAGACACTTTTTTAAGCCACTGTATATATTGTAATGAATGAAATTGTCATGTGGGAGTCTGGTGTTGCATTGGTCCAGCCAGTGTTGCTAGTGGCACCAACCAAGTCCATCCATCCAAACTCCTCTGTTGGTGAGTTCTACATGGTGTGTACTGTATCTTGGATATGCCATCTTCCAAAGTCAAGTACTTTAGTTACATTATCACATTGTCTGCATGCCCATTAAACTTTATGTTAGGAGATGGACAATTTGGGAATCACCAATGCAAGGAAGATCGCTGTTCAGATGTAATTTTGAGACTGTTCGCTTACCATTGCAAACAGAAAATGTATGCATACAAGGACGAAAAGGTGAACAGATAGTGATGAAACTCTACTCCCTATGAATCAGCCAAGCTGGCTGGTAATGTCATTGGTCTCCTGGAATTGCCTAAGTGTGCTGCTTCCATAGTGTCCTAGGTCACCAAGCTGCCTACATTTTCTCCTAGGTTTATGGCTGGAACCTGTTGGTTAGTGATGCAATTCTGATTTGGTGCTGTGGCTTACCAGGTCTTTCATAGTGGGACTCATTAGAAGATGTTGAGGAGCTATGACAGTGCTTTTGAGCTTCTTTTACCATAGCAGAGCCTATGGTGGTGCAAATTTTTGGAGTCAGATTGACCTCCAAGTTGACACAGATGTTCTTGTCTAGCTCAGAATCTTGTATATATGATTGTAAATAAGCATCATTCACTGTCACTGTAGGAGAGGAAGATGTACATACCTGAGGTAGCAGCATGAGGCACCAGATCATCACTGATGCTAGTATCATATCCATCAAGGCCCCAGTTGAGCAGCTGGGTGGGTGGAGGACCAGAAGGCACCTCTGTGCAGATATCCTCTAGAATCTGAGAGCTGTTGGTATCAGTTTTAATGCATCCCTCAGCACTACCAAGATTCTCTCCACATTCTCTGTCATGGCATTCCTCCCCTTCTTCTCCACCATCATATTCCTCCCTCTCATTACCTCTCTCTTTGTTCTCCCAGTATTCTGAATTGTCTCTCTTGTCTGCTATTCCATGACTGTCACAGGCCACATCATCATCCTTTACCTGACAGGAGTTGTCTTATACAAGACTTTGAGTGCTTGTGCAGCAGAAAATAGCCAAGTAACCCACCATTTTCATTATTTGTGAAGTTACCTCTCTCCACTGGCCCCTTCCCAGTATCCTCTGCTCTGTTCACTAGCTTCCACTTACACTCATGGGCCTTTGCCTCTTCAACAAGGTGTAGCTCATCTTCCTGTGAGGAAAGTATGATGAACTTTGTGTTTTTCATGACAGATGCATCATTGGCTTCCTCCATGTCAGAACACTAGTAAGCAGCTGCCAATGTCTCAGAAGATGGAACTTCATTCTGGAAGACCTGCTTTTTTGACTTAGAAGACTGACACTGTGTGTATGCATTGGCATTCAAGAACTGATGACAGTAAGCACTAGCATAGTGCATTATGGCTACAACTCACCTTCACTAAGTTTTCAAGTGCATATTGCACCTCAGGCCTAAGGAGAGGTTGCTCTTGTACATTGACAGCTCCTGTGGTATCCTCCCAGGCTATGGGACTTTTGCATAGTGTTAACAATAGCCTGTACTTGATTGGACTGTCTTGAGCGCATGACATCATGCTTGTGTGCAGCTGACTCAAAGCCTAGATCAAAGGAATGCTCTACTTTGGTAAGCACATGTTGGTTGACTGCCAGCCCATCTAGCCATGTGAAATTAACAAGATGTGGGATCAAGGCCTTGGTGTTGGTGAGTGTTGTCTGCCTCTTTGCACCAGGAAATGCAACATGGTATAA